ATTTGATGTTGTTAGGAATAATAGGCATATTTGGATGGGGGAAGAGTCTGAATTATAGAATGAACCATATCTGGAGGGCAGTGATTGAACTTGCAGATAGAATCAATAAAGATCAGGAGGAAGGTTCTCTTAATTTACTGTTCCCATGGTTACAACTGGCTACCTTGTGAGTTCTACTTTGTGAGTGAGAAAGAATGTCCCATGATGTTGATGCTTAGTTTAGGAGTTTAGAGCTCACCAGACTCTGCTACTGTACTTGGCTTTTCCAAGCAACAAGTTACATCAGCAGGCATCCGTAGATTAGGAAGCAGCAAACAGATTGATAGGTAATGATTTTTCTGAGATAAAAGCCAAGAGATACGTATTTGAGGATGTGGGCAGGTTTTCTCTCTGCCATGAACATAAGTGAAATTATTGCCATTTTAATTGCTAGGAATGACTGTGTGTGTTGGGACCTTCTGCCAGGCAAGTATCGAAAGTGTTGGGTCTTTATTTTGCGGAGTCTTCTAAAGCTGGCAACATCTGAATTATCAGATTGTTTTAGAACAAGAGGACAGTGGCATTGTGACTGAATCAGGAACTCATTTCTTTCCCCACTGTGATCATCTGATGTACACTAAAAGCATTTTGTGACTCCTCCTTTATTACATCCTAGCAGTGGACTAAGGGGTAATGGGCCCACTTGCTCTCAACAAAGAGGCGAGTCAGGAAGATTGTCTGACTAAGAGTTACACATTTTAAAATTCTATGTTAACTATTGCTCTTTTACTATGTGTTCAGCGCACTAAGCAGTTCTAAAGCATGAAAGCAACTACAGCATGCCCTTTATGTCCCTCTTTGCCATTATCTTAGGGTTGGAAGGAAGCGGCAGCATACATTTACGGTCTCCACTTTTTTTTTTTTTAAATCTTTTATTTATTTTTTATTAATTACACTTTATTCATTTTGTATCCCCCCATAAGCCCCTCCCTCCTCCCCTGCCAATCCCACCCTCCCTCCCCTTTCTGCATGCATGCCACTCCCCAAGTCCACTGATAGGGGAGGTCCTCCTCTCCTTCTTTCTGATCTTAGTCTATCAGTTCTCATCAAAAGTGGCTGCATTGTCCTCTACTGTGGCCTGGGAAGGCTGCTCCCCCCCAGGGGGAAGTGATCAAAGAGCAGGCCAATCAGATTATGTCAGAGGCAGTCCCTCTTCCCATTACTATGTAACCCACTTGGACACTGAACTGCCATGGGCTACACCTGTGCAGGGGTTCCAGGTCATCTCCACAAATAGTCCTTGGTTGGAGTAGGAGTCTCTGGGAAGTTCCCTGTGTTCAAATTATCTTGTTCTGTTGCTCTGCTTGTGGAGTTCCCGTTCCCTCCAGCTCTTACTATTTCCCACTTCTTACATAAAATTCCATTCACTCTGCCCATCAGTTGGCCATCAGGCTCAGCATCTGCTTTGACAGTCTATACTGCAGAAGCTTTCAGAGGCCCTCTGTGGCAGGTTTCAAGGTTGTTTCCTGTTTTCTTCTGGCTTTCAGAGGCCCTCTGTAGCAGGTTCCGAGGTTGTTTCCTATTTTCTTTTTCTTCTGATGTCCATCCTCTTTGCCTTTCAGGATGGGGATTGAACATTTTAGTTAGGGTCCTCTCTTTTGCTTAGTTTGTTTAGATGTACAGCTTTTAGTGGGTTTATTCTATATTGTATGTTTATATGAGTGAGTATATACCGTGAGTGTCTTTTTGCTTCTGGGTCAACTCACTCAGGATGATCCTTTCCAGGTCCCACCATTTACCTGCAAATTTCATGATTTCCTTATTTTTCATTGCTGAGTAATACTCCATTGTATAGATGTACCACAGTTTCTGCATCCATTCTTCAGTTGAGGGGCATCTGGGTTGTTTCCAGCTTCTGGCTATTACAAATAAAGCTGCTACGGTCTCCACTTTTAAGGAATGTATTTAAATACCACAGAAGACCACAATGACTCTCCATGACAGTAGCAGAAGAAGAGTTAATAGCTACACACTTAGGCTTGCCAAAAGAATTATGTAGATGCATTTTGGTTTTCAGTAGTCAGTATTCAAGCAGAGAAAGCTATTCATGTTCTCTTTAAAATTTTTAAAATCTATTTATTTTTGAGATTATTATACAGTTACAGCATTTCTCCTTTCCACTTGCTCCCTCAAAACCCTTCCACTCCTTCAAATTTATGGCCTCACTTTTTACTAGCTGTTGTTACACACATAGAGGTCTATATATATGCATATATATCCCCAAATATATATGCCACATGTGTATGGACCTATTCAGTCCATGTAATGTTTCTTGTGTATGTTTTCAGGGCTGACCATTCGGCACTGAGCAATCAGTGCTGTGCTCTTCCCAGGGGAAGCCCATCGGTTCTGCCCCCAGCCTTCCTTGGTTGCCTGCAGTTCTTGGAGCAGGACTGAGGCCTCATGGGCTTTTCTGCATTCACTTTTTGCATGCCCACTGGTGTCGTCCTAGATCAGCTCACTTTTGAGCAGCCGTTCCTTCTTTCACACCTGGCATTTCTCTTTACCTTTTGTTTGGTTTTCATTTCATGTCACTTCCTTTTAAAGGCATTTTGAAATGCTGTAGCTTCTGATAGTATTAGGTTAGAGTTTCTTCTGCTCTTGTACAGTGGTTCTCCATTTTCCTAACACTGCAAACCTTTATCACAGTTCTTTACTTAGGGGTGAGAAACAGCCATAAAATTATTTTTATTGCTACTTCACAACTGTAGTTTTACTACTGCTTTGAATCGTAATGTAAGTGCCTGATATCTCTGATGGTCTTAGGTGACCCCTGGGAATAGATCATTCAACACCCCCAAAAGGGGTCACAATGCATAGGCTGAGAACCACTGCTCTAGTGGTTTGAAGGTAGAGGACAGAATTCATTGTTTGATAGTGATATGGGGTAATTATTTTAGATGCAGGTATTATTATTCATCCCATTTTTACAAAGGTGCAAACTCAGACACTCAAAGGTTAAGTAACTTAACAGAAACTGCATAGGTAACAAGCAATTAAGTTGGTATTCATATCTCCTTAGTCTGAATAAAAGCCCCTCATCTCATTAAAAAAATATGCTTTTTAAATTATTTTTAGTAGTCATTGGGGGGAGTATGATGTATGAAGGGTATGCCTCTCCTCATTTTTATTCTTTTAGTTTTACTAAATATATTACTTGTTATTTGAAAACTGTATTTTCAATGGCTGTATAACTTCTTTAAGCATTCTCTTAATTCTTGACATATGTGTTGTTTTTATTTGATATTAAATTTAAAAAATTTCTAGTTTTACTCTAAAATCTTAAGACTCTGGAAACCCCTATTTAAAAAAAAAACTTTCCTATATTAAGAAATAACAGAGTGTTTCAAGATCCCTAAATCATATGGAATTATTTTCTTAAAAAAAAGAAAACTTTAAAAATGTATATGCTGGGTGTGTGTGTTTCTGAGTTCTGTGCAGAGGCATTTGGCGATCTCATGTGATTGTCTCCACCAGACGGACAGGCGGAATCAACGACACTGCTGCTGGTTAGCTTGCTAAGTGGAAGCTTGTCAGAGACAAAATTTCATGCATCTTCAAGGTCTACCCGCTTTTTTTACTGACAAAGAACTATGGTTTGGATGTTCTAAACATGTTAAATAAAGTACACAGTCCAAACTATAGCACAGAGAGTCAGGATCAGAACCTGTCCTAACTTGGAGATGTGTGGTGTAGTCTGACTCTTGGAAAGTTCGGATGACTAAAGGATGCATGAAATGAGCTTCCGGGGTCTTGATTGTAGATGTAGGATGCAGTATGTGGGTCAGCATCCATTTCCTTTACATCATCCCTTTAACCCAAGGGAGTAACCCAAACTAAGAGGCCCGGCACTTGCTCAAAGAAATAAAGATTCTAGTTTCATAGACTAGGAATACCATGAAATTCTCTTTTGTGAGCTTGTTTGGATCTGACCTACTGTTAGATTTGCAGGATAATTTTGGACTCTTCTTCCGCTGTTCTGTTGATAGTACAATAAATGTTTGAAAGAAGGACTTCCCCAAAAATTGGAAACTCACATTTTTCAAGGTTGTTTTGTACCCCAGACTGAAACCTGAGGAGCACTTCTGTTTGTTAAAGTGTGGCAAGAATGTGAGGAAAACATGTAATGTGATTTGGGTCGGTGTTTATCAGGCTATGCTGTTGTAAATGTAAACCTCAAAGTTTCAGTGATCTACATTAATAAAGGGACATACACACACACACACACACACACACACACACACACACACACTCACAGAGATAGCTGCATCAGGCTAGCTGACCATCTTTGTGCAGTGGAGGTGTCATGCCGAAGTAGCTGAAGCAAGAGGAGAGCTAAGGTTCTCAAGTAGACTTAAGTGACTCAGCTTGAAAGTGGCACATACCAACTCCTTGCTCAGGCAACTATCCAGAATTAGAAACATAGCAAATGCAGCCTGCCAAATATGCCAAAGAACATACAAATATCTCATGAATCCTACTTGTCTTTAATAATTCTTGATCCTTTAAAATTATTTACTTAAAGATCTATAGGCAGTATCAAATTAAACAGACTTTCCCAAACCTTCATGTTGTTTTGCTTTATGTGTAAAGTGTAAGTCTATGCTATAATACATACTGTGTCTTGAAGAAATAAAAAAATCTGCTTATCAATTATAAGATCTTTGCAAGTCATTTAACTTCCCCAAACCTAGGTCTCAGCTGAAATTTGAGTAGTGAGTTCTCATCTGTGGGTATATTTCAAAAGTTAGGTTAAGGGTGGCATGTAAAACACTTGACACGGTGGTTAATATATGGTAGATGTTAAACAAATGCAAATTTTTATTTTATTTTTACTTGAGTTGCCAATCTTATGGTAATATCTACAGTATGTGTATAGATCCTTACATACAATATATTCAGTAGGGGCATGAAATATTTCTGCTGAGTTTAAATGAAATGTCTATTTTTGATCCTTGTAGGACATGGGGAGTTTCAGAGGTCATGCTCTCCCTGGAACATTCTTCATTATAATGGGCTTTTGGTGGTGTACAAAGAGTATCCTGAAATATGTCTACAAAAAGCAAACTAAGACCTGCTACCTTAGTTCCAAAACATTATTACGTCGAGCAGAGATATGGGAAGGAGTTGTCGTGATTATCATGGCTTTTACTGGTAAGTAGGGACTGGCTTTGTTATGTTTTCTCCTTTTCAGTATTTCATGAACAACAACAAATAAATTCAATACAAGATTTAGAGCAACATAGAGGCACAGTAGTCTTTTCTGAGACCGATACTCCAACCAAGGACCATTCATGGATATAATCTAGAACCCCTGCTCAGATATAGCCCATGGCAGCTCAGTATCCAAGTGAGTTCCCTAATAAGGGGAATAGGGACTGTCTCTGACATGAATTCAGTGGCTGGCTCTTTGATCACCTCCCCTTGAGTGGGGAGCAGCCTTGCCAGGCCACAGAAGAAGACAATGCAGCCAGTCCTGATGAGACCTGATAAGCTAGGGTTAGATGGAAGGGGAGGAGGACCTCCCATATCAGTGGACTCGGAGAGGGGAATGGGAGGAGATAAAGGAAGGAGGGTGGGATTGGGAGGGAATGAAGGAGGGGGATACAGCTGAGATACAAAGTGAATAAACTGTAATTAATATAAAAATAAAAAAATATTTAAAAAAGATTTAGATATGCTAAATGAATTTTGTATTAATATGTCTCTTAGTGCTCATCCCAATTATGTTTTACAAGTGTCGTAATCTTAGGAATGTGACATTTCATAATTATATGAAAACCTAATCCTTAATGAGTCAGTATTTAATTTGCATATCCAGTCAGGTGAATTCCTTTTGTATCATAAGTTAGAGCCTATGAAACAGATGTTCTGTTGTTTCAAAGAGGAAATTCTGTGAGAAGCCATTTTGTAAATTATACTAAAACAGTGACATGATTATGGGAAATCTTCAGTTGCAAGTCATTGCTGAGGGATGATATAGTCAAGGCTTGAGGATCTCTTGCTTCATGTTTATACACTTTGTTTCTTGAACTGGACAGAGTGCTGGTAACTTTTAACTTAAGTAACTTCCCTTTGTTAGTGAACATTTTATGAGAAGGTTTTGCATTTTTACAGTACTGCTTTAGCCGCTCCTTTTTTTTTTTTTTTTAAAGGTAGCACTTCTAATTTTCTTAATGAGTCTTTTCATTCATGTCAGTAGGACTTTGTCATGACCATGAAATTGCAAAGTAACCACTTCCAAAGAGAGGAGTTTTCTTGCCCATTCTAGAGGTTAACAAGACAGTGTCTCTAGGGAAATAAAACTGTCTCCATGAATAAGTAGCTATATGTGGAGGCTGCATGAACCATCTTTATTCTTCTTAGTTGGGGAAAAAGCTATTTTTTTTTATCAGTTTTATCAGGAATTGGGAACAACATCCTACTTTGAAACAGTTGCCTAAGATTGCAGTATCTAGAAAGAAAGTAATAATCCTTTATAAGACACATATCGTAAATCTAAACCTCAAAGGAGTCGTTAAATTAGAAACAATTGTTAAATGGAAATTACCAGTATTAAAGGTATGAATCAATTGCTTGGCTCATTTGTGTATATGTAGATAAAGCTGATTACCCAAACCAGCCTCTAAACTTTTGAATCAAGTCCTGATCACTATCTCTAGGCTTTTGGAGGAAACTCCGAGGGAGGAGTCAACATCATAAGGTTGGAGTAAGCATTGAACACATGTTCCTGTTGTCTTCCCACACACTGAGTAGAGTTAAGGAGAGGCTTGCTAAAACTGTGCTATTCTCCTCCTCAGGTATGGTTGGGGAGCAGTTTATTTCAGGAGGACCCTCTCTCACCCTGTATAAAGATGGCCAGTGGTACGAGCTTCTGGAGTGGCATCACACAACCATGTACTTCTTCTTTGGGCTACAGGGTGTAGCACAGATCTTATGTTTCACTACCAATATATTTCCTCTTTCCTTAAGCAAGTTAATGTTATCAAATGCCATCTTTGTGGAGTGTAAGTATGAAAGTAATATGTTTTCTGTTGGTTGGTGGGCATTGATGTAGTTCTTTAGCAAGTCTAACCCTAACCTTAACCCTGGTGTGGTATGGTAGAAGAAAAACCCCACATCTTATGTGTGTGTGTGTGTGTGTGTGTGTGTGTGTGTGTGTGTGACTTTGATTGGCAGAGCTGTCTGGGTCATAGTTGAATTGATGGCTATCCTAGATGAGGTACCAATAGCCTTTCTTCCATCTTTACAGCCTAACTTAATAGATTGGAGCAGACACAGCCACTCAAAAAGCCTTATTCGCATTTCATATTTGTTTTTAAGTCATCTGCAGTGGGCACTTACCTCTCAGTTGTTTTGGAGCCCTTCATTCTTTTCACTGTTAGCAGTGAAAGCTGACCTTGGAGTAGCAGTCACGAATTACTTAAAGCAGCTACTCACAATAGAAAACCTCTACCAACCTCTAATGAGCTTTTCCGATATTAGAAACACAAACTCTGCCCAAATGTGTTGTGTAGTATCTAAGAAATGGCTTCCTAATTCTGAGAAGGTAATGAAAATAACAAGATGTTTCTTTCAGTTGCTTTTTCAGATTATCAAAAGGAGAGGGATCAAACAAATGTTCAATAATCATAATTGAAGCATGCTTGCTGAATCCCTGAAAGTGAGGCTTTGAGTTCAGCTCATTCATCTGTACATTCACAATAATTATAGCTCCCCACCACAGTCATGTTTACAATATATTATTTTACATAGATAATTCTTTGAACAATAGTTGAGATTTCTTTTTTTGGTATGTTAGAAGAGAAAACAAAGGTTGGAAAAAGGGGAAAGTGGGACTAGAATTCAAAGATTCTCTTTCTAAGAGACAATGTTTACCTTCCCCAAAGCAAAGGTACATTTCTATGGAAACCAGTGAGGGATTTGCTGTTTGGGACAATGCTTTGTTTGTATAAAATTCTGTGGAAAGAGAGTGGTACAGGGGGAAGCCTTTGGTTTTTATCAGAAAATATATGTGTCCCCTCTATTAGCCTTTATCTTCTACAACCATACACACGGTCGGGAGATGCTGGATATCTTTGTGCACCAACTTCTGGTCTTCACTACCATCGTGGCGGGTCTGGTTACCTTCATGGAGTTCCTCACGAAAACCAATGTACTTCTGGAGGTCCTGCGCTCCAGTCTCATCATACTACAAGGGACCTGGTTCTGGCAGGTGAGTGGGACTTCTAGCTAATAGACCTGGTGTCACTTATCTGTAGTTTCTTGTGTTAATCAACAAAGCACTTGTTTTCAATACTTCTATTCTGTGAGAGCCACAGAAATGGTGTTCTTGGAGTAACCTGGTAGTTATAGTGAGAATGCCATCAGAGCTGCTGTGGAGGAAGCAGGTTGTGTATTCTTTCACAACAGATCCATTTGTCCTTGATGTAGGAACTCCAGGCTGATAATTCTGGTTGTAAGCGATTGATCATACTACAACAGCTTATAGCCTAATGGGTCATAAGCTCAAGAAGTATATGAAAGCCAAAGACAGAGGACACTTAATGAGAGACAACTCTATGATGGCCATCATATAGGTTTTATGTATATCTTATTTTATCTTATAGGTTTTTTTTTTTTCAGAAAACAATTTTCTCATGTTTTATCTTGTATATAATACAGTGAGGGAGAGATTTTTGAATGGAAAGGGGACCAGAAGGGGGGAGGAATGGCAGGACCAGAGAGGAAAGGGAAGCAACAAGTCATGGTGTGTGTGATGCAAAATGAAGTTCAGGATTTTATGAACAGTGTGGGGCTAACAGGATGGCTCAGTGGTGAACAGTTGCTTTTGGAGAGGACAAAGATTTTGTTTTTAGCACTCATGGCTCATTAACTCCTCTAACTCCAGATTTTTCTAGCTGCATTTCTGGCCTTGAATGGTGCCTTGCTCAAGGCTAGAGCCCCGGCCTAGAATTCCCCAGTGAGGGGCTGGCAGTGTGGCTCAGAAGTAGAGCCCATCTTGTTTTATTGTATTCCCCATATACTCACAGCAATCCAGAGGTTTGGTATTATCACTTCTAATTTGCCCACAGGTATCTTGAGCAAGAACGAGCTATTTCCTCATGCACAAACAGTACTATAAGCAGGATCTAGCTCTAGAGTTCTCTAATCCCAAATCCCAGGCAGTTTAGGATGAGGCAAGGACGTTGTCTGATTGGGCAAGACTTTAAGGAGGATATTTTTAGTCACCAGAGTGCCAGGATTTGGAGTAATACAGCTATTTTGGGGCTTGAATTTCCCATGATTGATAAAGGATTGCCAGGAGAGAAGTACAATGTTTTAAACGGGATAGGATGGTGTGACATTCACACTCGGGAGGAGGTAGAAGAGCATGTGGTGCAGAGACCTAGGGTAGGATGGGGCTAGGTTCACATGTTAGTTTGAAGTGTGCTTTATGATAAATATGGTAAATATTCTGTAAAGTGATCAAGCAGACAATTCCTGATTATAGCTAGCTTACATAGGGTCTTAACCCACCGCAGGGAACCTAAATGGAGTAAAGAGGATGGCACAGAAAGAGCTAGTGTACACTGAATTGCAGTGTTTTCCCACATGCATATATGTTCAGTGATCAAAAGGAAAGATGGTGTATTTCTTGTTTGTTTGTTTGTTTGTTTGTTTTGTTTTCCCAAGAGCAAACTTCTGGTCAAGTTGACACAGTGAGCTTACACTTCAGTGCGTAGTCTCTGTTCTGAACACATAGCAAAGACATATAAGGTAGATCCATGGTGGCAGGGGTTTGAAAAAGAAACATCGAAAAGGAAAAAAGAAATTTAAAAAGAAAAGGCTAAAAAAAAAAAATTAAAACATCTAACTTCACTCAAGACAAAAGCAGGGCCTGAAGTTGTGTGGGCCAAAGGTCAAATAGAAGTGCATGGCTGGAACAGAGCTGATCTGGAGGCCTGCAGGCGCTAGTCCAGGGCATCTGTTGGGGTAAAGCCAGGCTCTTGTGCCATGTCCCATTGTGGGTATCTGTGATCATGTTCTTCAGATTCGTGTCTAGAAGTCTGTGGGAGTTTTATATTACTAGTATGGATTTGTTGAATTCTTATTTTCATTTTTTTCCTTTGTTATGAGGTTATCTTTAACTCCTTTTTCTCTAGGTTTTGTTTTTTGTTTGTTTGTTTGTTTGTTTTTGCTTAGGTGGCAATTTCATTTATTTTTAACCTTTCTTGATTACAAAACATGTATCGTCCACAAATATCTCTAAATATTATTTAGTGTTGCGTTTTTATTGTGCTTTCATCTTTAATTCACGAGTTCTTTTGACTTATGTGGGGTTGGAGTTTTTTTTTTGTTTGTTTGTTTTTGTTTTTCTTTCATGGCACTAGGGACCAAAAATGTGGCCTCCAGCTCAATGAGTATCTTTCCTACGACCTATCACTTGACTTGGAGCCCTCTGTCTAGTAACACAATTTTAAGTTTCAAAGCGTATCTTTTCTGAATATCACTCATTTCCAGTTTAATCACATTGTGTTCAGAGAATGTGTTTTATATGAAGGGTGCAAACACTTCCTTTGGTATATAGCATGATGTCAATATGAATTCTCTGTGTGCTTGAAAGGGTGTAAATCACTTTGCTCAGTATAGGATTTTATGTGTTATCTATCTTTCTATTAGTGCATCAAATACCTAAAGTCATCAATTATAGAGAGAAAAGGTTTATTTTCCCACATGGTTTTAGAGGTCTTAATCCATGATTTTTTAGTCCTTTTGGCTTTAGACTATAGGGAGTGAGCACATCACAGCAGGAATATGTACAGAGAATACTTGTCTCAGGATTAGGAAGTGAGAGAGAGGTGATGGCTAGGGTTCTAGAGTTCTCCTTCAAGGATATGCCTCTAATGACCTAAGGAGTCTTTTAGGTCCTTAGGTCATTAGAACTAAAAGTTAGATGACCTATAGTAGTGACAGCATGGAGAGCAAACCTTTACCTAAAGGACCATGAAAAGCCAAGCATTATTCAAACTGTAGCATACATACAACTTGTTTGATTTTACTATGGAACTTAATATTCATGTAAAGAAAAGACAGTAAGAACCTTGGAGGAAACAAATAGAGAGTTGAAGAAAGGAATTATAAGATAGGGTTACAATTAATAAAAGCAATCAATATTTAGCTAATATTTACTGATTAGTTCTTCTTTGACCTAAAGAGAGAAGCCGTATTATACCTCAACCAAGGATAGAACAGCTTAATGCTGCTGCTTTGGGCACAAAAATAACATTTTCACATTTCCTGAAAAGTTTTTCCAAAACAAAACAAAACAACCACAAAAATCCACATACCAAACAAAACAAACCCCAAAATTTGGTTATAATCTCTAGGGATAAATTTTTCATTATTTAGAAGTTTTTTTAACCTACCAATATGTCTAGATTAGTCTCTTGCGTGACTAGGTGTCTAGCCTAAACATTGTCTTGAACCCTTTAAAAAAATGAACATTCTTACCAGTGTAAATTTACACTAACAGGAAATAACTGTTTAGCTACATCCTCATGCTTTCATTCCTCTGAAATAAGAATGTTTAGCAACTTAGAGGAATGTCTTCTGCACGGTGTTTTATTGGTATGTGCAGTATGTGGACGCTTACATTTAAATCTCTTTCCTAAGCTAATGGCATTGCATTGTGATTTGCTTTCTGCCACTTTTGTCGCTTGCCACATCTTCACAAGTATCCAACACTAGTTCATAAATTACACACAGGCAGATTAGAGAAAGCGCACTCAGACTCTTGGAATCGTACTTACGGAGATGTGAGCTGAATGAGGCAAATGTGCAGACTGGTCATTTTTTATAATTCACATTGAAATGATTGTGTCATATTCGGACAGAAGAGAAATTCCCCTCCTAACCTATAAAAAAGTTGTTTCTTTCATGAGTCACATGGCATTTAAAACATGTTTATTTAATGACTAAGCCATTTTATGTAACTCAAAAAAGAAAAGAAGCTCCCTTGTGCCCATCATTCCAGGACAGTCTTTTCCTAATCTCCTAGTGGAGGAGTAACTCAGAAACTCACTTTAGGCTTTCTTCTTTGTTTCTCCTCAATCTCCTCAGAGCACAAGACGGTGGGGAAGCTGCTTCTTTTTTACTGTGCATAGCTGTCTCCTATGTATAACTTAGCTCCATTTATTTCCATGTCCCAAAAATGCGTCACAGGAAAACTGCCTGGATTTTGAGTCTAAACTGTAACTCATCCCTGTCTGGACATTAAGAAAGACAAAATGGCTAAGCAGTTATGAGCAGACGGCACTCTAGCAGAGGACCCAGGGTTTCCATCACCCATTTGGTGGCTCGCAACCTTCTGTAACTCTGGTCTTTGGCACCAGGCACGGAAGTGCTGTTCAAACACATATGCAGGTAAACACTCATACACATAAAAGAAAATAAATAAATCTTTATTGTAAACAAACATCCATTCTAAAATGGCAAAATGACTCACTCACAGTAGTCCTCCAAAGCCTGATATTGTAGATAAAACACTTGTTTGGAGTTTTCATATTGACATAAATGAGATTATCAAAATATACAGCAATATCAAATTCCTACTGTAAGCTATAGAAAATGGCACTCTGGCTTATTCCTCATCAGAGAAAAAAATTAATTCCATTTAAAAACTAATAATAGTGAAGCTTTAAACTAAACACATTTTGGGGGAGAAGGGGTGGCATACAAAATATATAATTTTACAGTAGAAAATAAATTAGTACAGCTGATAAAAGTGTACTGTTCATTTTAAATGATGGCCTGATGGGTTTGTTAGTTTTTGGTCCTGAGTTACAATGTTCTTAAATGACTTAAGTTTAGCTTAAAGTCCGTTGGCTTCCAGAGTAGCTGTCCTCATGGCGCCTGTTAATGGGCTGCACCCTGGTGTTTAGACATAGATGTAGCTTTCAAACGCTAGGCCATGAGGTTCCAGGAAATACTCAGTAAGAAGCAAAGTTTTCTGTTACTCTGACATGAAATAATAATAAAAATAGTAAAGTCATTTTGTGATCAATTCATTGTAAACACCTCTACTCTTGGACCAACCAGTAAACTCATTTTCTAAAATGGTAGCTTTTTAATTGTTTTATTATTATTATTTAATGATGGTTTAATGAAGGTTACTTGAAACAGTTTAGTTTGCAAGTTTCTCAAGGCAACCGTGGATTCTGGGTAAAATGGGAG